CTTTCGTATCGGGGCATGAAGAAATTTTTCAATGTGCGTGAATATTATCATGACTTTTTCTTTATATTGTGTCTCTAGTTTTACTATGTTTTTTGTTGAAATAGCTTTTTGTCATATTATGTGTAATTTTAGACATTTTTCATTTATTTATTGCTTTTTCTACTAATAATAGATTTGATGATCAAAAATATTTATAGCAAATTCATTTGTAGAATTTTTATGTAAGTTTGAGAAAAGTCTTTTTTTGAAAATAAAACATCACTATAGTTGTAAATAATTAAAATTAAAATAAATTTGTTGAAAATTATTGAATTCTGTCAAACCTATCCTCAACCTTCCTATGAGACGAAAAACAAAAGCTTTGTTTACTTATTTTCTTGACAATAGTCAGCTTTCAAGTCGAAATGATTTTATTTCTAACAAATATCCAATGATTCTTATCTCCAAGTTTTACTGGATATACCCTTTTATTTTCCTTTTGTTAAAAAACACAAGACAATATCAAATGAGTTTTTTCATATGTTTGTGCGTGACTTATTTCATTCACGTAATTGCTGCTACCATATTTAATTGCCTATTTATTCTTTTCATCATCGATGCTTTAAGTGGTTCAGTAAACTGAAATAAAGCCATTAGGACCAATACTAATGATACATCAATAAATAGATAAGCGATTCGAAAATGATATTTCGGTGGATTTGTGAAAAATGACATTAAAATGAACAACACAAATGGAAAACCAAGTATAACTAATATAGCTACCAGTATAACTATACGTTGAACCATTTTTAATTCTCTTTTTGCACGAGATAAAGTGTTTACAGGTGTAATACGACTACTCATGCTACGCACATATCGAACTAATTTAAAATAAATAAATATAATGGATGAAGTAGGAATTCCGTAGCTACATAATGATATATAAATTGTTGAAAAGGAGAATCCAAGATGTATTTGACAAATTTGATTGTCAACATTGTAATGAATGTCACCAGTGACTACGGTTGGAATAGGATGTAACAAAGCAAGTATCCATATTAAACAAATCAGTAAAAATTGAAATCGAATTGACTGAAAATATAAATGATTTCGATAAACAGCCGTAAAATATCGATGAATAGCTTGTAACAACAATGAATTCATGAATAGAGCGCCTGATACGTAAGCAATATATGCTCGAAAAGTACAAAATGAATCTTGAAATTGAATTTGTTCAAGATCGTTTTTAAACGTTGTTAAACATATACTCAACATACAACATCCAGACATTAATGCACTTAAAAATGTATTGCCAATTAATATCATTGCAACTTTATGACAAATTTTATCAAGAGCCAGAACAAATAAAAACAATAAAGAAAGTCCTATGATCAAACTATTACATACAATATTTACAATATCAATTGAAATAAACCATGATTCAATGTTTAATCTAGACGAATTTATATTCATGATTAATGATGAAGGAAACATAGTTGAGTTCATCTTTGACATAATCAACAAATGAGAAGAGACATCTCAAATGAATAAATCTCGGTATTGTGTGTTGAACAAGTGGTGTGACACATCTTTAATAATGAATAACTATTCCTAAGACATCAATTGAAATACTTTCTTTTACAATTTCTTCTTCTATTCTTATTGAAAAACTCCGCATCACATTAAAAAACATTATTTTTTTTTACTATTTTAATGTTTTCCACCATTATTCACCCACTTCAGAGCTTTTTAGTGTGCCATTATAAAATAATATTATCAAAAGACAAAATTGAGTCTATTTTAGAAAAGAAGACTTCAAAAACAAAATATGTGACGAACTCGATGCGTAAATTGATGCATTAGTCAATATTCTTATCTCTATTCTTTCCAGATGCTTGTTTTTTCGCTTAATAGCTCGTCAAGATTCGATTTTTGTCTGATCTACAAGATAGTGTAGACCAGACAAAATCTTGACTGACGACACAAGAAGTCTCTAACCTGAAAAGAATTTTGTAGCCCTTGAAAATCAAGCCTGATTCTTTTTTATCCTGAATAGGATAGTTTCTTGGATAATCCAGCAAGATTCTGATGCTTTATTTTCATGATTAGTATCAATCAAGTATAGCTTTGTTTTCAGTGCTATTTTATTGATGAAGCTTTCTTAGGAATTACAAGCATTAAAAAATGAACAGAATAACAAAGAAAGTAAAGTGTTGACTAAAGTAATAGGAAACAAGTAAGCAAAACTTCATAGCAATTTTAATAAAATATTTCTCGGGCGTCGGCATGGCTGAAGCGAAGAGTAGCGCCACACCCATCTAAGTTAATTTTTTCAAACAGCTGAAACTGGAAACAGAATAACATCGACCATGCGTGAGATTATACAAATATGATTTAATGTGTTGAGTTACTCTACGGAAATCGTGTAACATTAAGAAGTAAATATTTATTCTATGTGCCACCCCTAATTGACTCGCAAAACAAGCAGCCTTAGCTCACTAGGTTTCAATTAATTTTTGATTTTGACCAAATATTTGTGATCAACATTCTCAGTCCTATTAAACTGGGTGACAATTGGTTGGTTGTCTAACAATTTTTTTTTTGAAATTGTCGTACGTTGTCCAGAAGTCTGAAGGGATCGAACACTTTTGCGTTTACGAGCCAGCTATCCTGGCCATTTAACCTGGAACGGAGCCCTGATTCTTGTTTGATAGAAATTTTCGAACGAATGAAGGTGCCAAAAAATAACCTTGGCTTATTCTCTGTGTATATCGGTTTAGGAGCAGATAATGTGAGTCATTTTTCAACTCAAACAATAGGTTCTTTCAAATTTTTTTTAACCATATTATAGAGAAGAAAAAGTTATTAAGACGGAGACTATACGTACAGTGAAACATTAATCTGGCCATGCGCCTGTGCATAGCCAGCCTTTTTGACGTATATCTGCGCTCGAAAAGAACACTGAATACCCTGTTAACAGTGAAAACGTAAAAAACGTGCGTCCATGTGTGAAAATACTGCATGGATACCAGTGTGGTTCTTGGCACAACATACTTTTGCTCGCGTCAGTGACTGTGATGTCATTCAAGATGAGAATCAGTTCAATTTGTTCGACAAGTCATTCAACTTAATACGATGCAGATGAATGCTTTGCGTATGATATATACAGGGTGAATCATTAATATCTTTACGACAAAAAATTTCAATATCTCTGCCATACATAAATCAAATGGGCTGATATTTTTTATGGATGATAGAGGACAGTTCAAAGTTTTTGTCCATACAAAAAAAGGTTAACAAATACTGCTTTGAAATATCGCCTGTGGCTTTAATGAAGATTTTCAGCCTTTTATAGAATCTCAAAAACATAAAAGACGTACACGATGTCTTACATTAGCAAACTGTTTTAGTTTTATCTAAAACACATTATACTACTCATATTCCTATATAATTGGGACTAAACTAGGTCTTCATCTTCGTCGCTGCCACTTTTCTCACATTACGTTTGCTGTTTTCATTCATCATGTCGTTTCTTTCGATTGCGGCCGCGATCGTCTTTCAGTCTTTCTGTTCACTCTGCCTCCCGTCATGTTGTATTGAAAACCCCTATGGATTTTAGCAACTGTAGCTTCTAAAACGGTTTATTAGAGTATATGAGATTCATCAACCCTAATTTTTCGTTAATTTTTTCATGGTGTACATACCATGTGACTATAATCTTTTTTTCGAAAAGTGACTCGCTTTTCAAATTCCTAATTTGAATACACAAATGTTCTCATGAATTTAAAATTTCTAGATCTATTGCAACACTTGATTTC